CATTGGTTATGCCCATATGCATGCATACAAGTCCTTTAGTTGATCTTACCCCCTCACCCCCCACCTTCCCTCATAGGTTGGACAGCCAGTTTGATGCTTCTGTGACTCTGGTTCTATTTTTGTTCATCAGTTTATGTTGTTCATTATATTCCACAAATGAGTGAGATCATGTGATATTTATCTTTCTCTGACTGGCTTATTTCACTTAGCATAATGCTCTCCAGTTCCATCCATGCTGCTGCAAATGGTAAGAATTCCTTCTTTTTTATAGCAGCGTAGTATTCCATGGTGTAGATGTACCACAGTTTTCTAATCTACTCATCTGCTGATGGGCATTTAGGCTGTTTCCAAATCTTAGCTATTGTAAATTGTGCTACTATGAACATAGGGGTGCATATATCCTTTCTGTTTGTTCATTCATATTGTTCTTTAGATGAAATCACATGGTATTTGTCTTTCTCTAACTTATTTCACTTAGGATAATATCCTCTGGGTCCATCTATGCTGTGGCAAATCACATAGGGATCTTGTTAAAATAAAGATTCTAGTTCAGTAGGATTGGGATAGGGCCGAGAATTCTGCATTTCTATTTTCTGCATAATTTTCATAATAATCATTTATAATTGCTATATAAACTATAGAATTAATGTAACATTACTAGAAATTTACATATAATCTCAGTTATTTTGCCATTTGAATTAATGCTGCATTGAATTCCTCTTGGCATACAGCTTTCTGATGTTTAATTATTTCCCTAAGATAAATTCCTAGGAGTAGTTACTAGCTTAAGGAATAAGAATATCTTTGTTGTATTATGGGTACAGAGTTTCAGTTTTGTAAGATGAAAAGACTTGTGAACACTGATGGCGGTGATGGTTGTACAGTTGTTAATGTGCTTAATGTCAATGAACTGCACACTTAAATATGATTAAGATTGCAAATTTTATGTTACATATATTTTTCCATAATTTAAAATGTTTTAAAATAAAAGGTTATTTCCCACCACGTACAGTATCTTTGTATTTTTATTGCATAATAAACCATTTGGCCTTTAGAAGGAATGCCCAAATTAAGTGCCTCCATGTTTACTTCCCTTATACCCATATTGAATGTCTTATGGTTTCTTAAAATGTTTGCTAAATTGTTGAGAACTCTTTTTCTTCTTCTTTTTTTTTAATCCTCACGCAAGGATATTTTTTTTCCATTGATTTTTAGAGAGAGTGGAAGGGAAAGGGAGAGACAGAGAGAAACACCAACATGAGAGAGACATATCGGTTGGTTGCCTCCCACATGCTCCCGACCAGGGCCGGGATCCTGCAACCAAGGTACATGCCCTTGACCGGAATCAAACCCAGGACCCTTCAGTCCATAGGCTTATGCTCTATCCACTGAGCAAAACCGGCTAGAGTGAGAATTATTCTTTAAGGATGCCTTAATTGTCTTTTTATTTCTATCAAGGTTGAAATTTGAACATTTTTTTTGTGGGGTTTTATACTATTTGTATTTCCTTCTTTGAAATGTACATTTATGTCATTGGCCCTTATTTATATTAGGGCATTGGTCATTTTCTTTAGATATGTAAGAACCCTTTTATAGTATATTCTAATATTTCAAGTAAATACTTCTAGTCTTTATCTTTTTAATTCAGATTTAAGAAGTAACTTTGTGATTTTACATCCCACAGGTGAATTACGGAAAAGTTTATAATGACAGTAGGAAAGGATTGAAATTCGCCGTCTCCTGTGGCTGCAGTTCAGAATTTGTTTTTGTACCATATGGTAGCACCATTGCTGTTTATACAATTTACTCAGGAGAACAGATAACTATGCTTAAGGGACATTATAAAAGTGTTGACTGCTGTGTATTTCAGTCTAATTTCCAGGTAAGAATGATACCAATGGGAATTTAAAATATTCAAGTAGTTTGCC